CTAGTTTGTTATAATTATTAATACAAAGATCGAACACTCAGAAAAAATTCCTTTGATCCGGTAGTTTGCCTTTTATAAAACCCGTTTGCAAAATTGTAAAGGAAACTTTTTAGTAGCAGTAGAGCTCCTTGTGAAAGAGTTCGTCCAGGGAAGTACTGCCACCTTCTCTATTTCTGCCGCCAATCAGTTATGTGAGTATTACCACGTTCCAATTTTGAAGGATAAGGGTGCTGGCGAAATTACAGGTACGTACATGAAACTTTTCAACTTAAGTCTCAGGTGACGGGCGCAGTAGCAGGGCCCGTAAGATCGTTGTGATTTAAAGCTCTGAGTGGCTCTGCAACTGCTATGGACAGGCGTGGCTTGTATGTGTGCAAGCCCGCCGCGCGCCGTATACGGACGCGTACATTCGCATAATTTCACAGTTCACTTGCGTTATCTAAACTTTTCAAAATAGTATTTTATGTACTCTATATATTTTAATTTAATGAATTATTAATCTTTCTAATTCTTTTCCACAACTTTTTTTTTCTAAATTTAGCTTAACTACAACGCCTTCAATTACAATATTGGCAATCAATATTTTATGTGCTTTGCCAGTAGGTATTAAACTTTTGATGGCGAATTAAATTGCTTGGGCTTGTATTTTCTGTGACTTAAATAACTCTCCGGCAACTAACTTTAAGGGCATTGAATTAAGTAGCTGATTACAAAGTTAAGGTCATTTTTGCCGGAAACTACTCAAATATAAATAAGTAAAACAAGAAACTTGTTATTTGTATTAACTAATACTGCATACAATCTACCAAGCCAGAATTCATAAAAAAGTTATCATTTTATTCCTCTGGCGTAGAGCTCGCGTCAACTTACGAGATCTGCATATTTCACAACTTTTACAAGTGGGACCTCTTTGAAAATAGCGGTATATAAGTATAATTATATATATATTTACCTTCTTGATCAAAATTACCTAAGGATCTAAAGAAACTGAAAATTAACAAATACTCGTGACACGATGATTCGACATCATTCGTTGTAATTATTGAGTTGATTTCAGTTATCACTATGATATAATAACACTGATTAAAATATATCGTAGTTCAGTCGACATATTTTAACATCCATTCTCGATTTCACTCATCGTATTGTATCACTATTTCATAAACTATATATGTGTCATTTTAATCAAGCTAATTTAAAAAACAGATATTAAAGTTCTTAATCTACAAAAAGTATCCATTTCTTTATCATTTGTGCGTCGATAAGCTGCAGTTGTCAGCGTAATTGAGAAACGAGTCGTGATTAGTTTAGACTATTCATTTACCAAAGCCCTTTGTTAAATGACAAACAGCACATAACATGAAAATTAAGCAGAAACTAGTATATTGTGTTAAAAAATGACCCGAGAGACGCTCAGCCCTCTGGCTCCCTAGTTTACTGCAACCCTGTGTGCCGCACAACCTGAGCCCTAGGTAAGTCGGCACAGGAGCGTGTACGTACCCATAGAAAAACAGACAAAAACTTTAAAAATTGATGCTTTAAATTTAGTGGCGTGTTTTCAGTAGGTAGCGTAGATATTACTTTAAAATTCAAAAAGCACAAACTCAGCTCTTTACTGACGTTATAAGTATGTACATAGGTGGTCTGTGGTAGGCAGAGTTCATCATCATGCGTTTAAATACAATCATTTTACATTTCACGACAGTAATCTGTTCTTTTGTTCGACATTGACGTCACGTTGGATGCGCCCACGCCGGCCGCTGCCGGCTCCGCGTCCTCGCCGCCACGCCACGGCAGACGCTCCAATAGCTCTTAAGAGAACGCACGTCACTTATCGCTGCTGCAAGCTGCTGCGTATTTTTTCAAATCGTAACCGTATTTTAGTGTTCGTCACTTTACTTTCCTGACAATACATCATAAATACATTTTAATAGTGAATAAGTGTATCCCCAGTTTGGGTAAGTGGTATTGTTGTTGCTTGTTGCTAGGCCGGTCTTTGGACAAATTATGTATTTGTAACGTATTCGCAATGCTTGGGATGTTGCAGTTGTCACGTCATGATTATAGTATTTGTGTTAACTGTAAATTCATCTCAATTTTAATTATATAAATTTAATGTTGCAAAAGATAATATTGATCGTGCTTGTGCTTGTAAATAATAGTTTAATGTTTCAGTTCACCCTCGCATTTGCACAAAATTATTTAGCGCTTTAATTTACATATTGTAACTCCGTGTTTCATTGTAAACAACCACGGCAACACTACTACATAAGTCCATTTTGCCGTTGCGGTGGCTGAGAGTGGTGTTTTCCGGAACAGTGTGCAACGGTTTTTGTTCAAAGGCACGTTCCAGGGTTCAAAGTCCTGATTGAAAATTGTTGCCTCTGCTTCGCTTTCGGCTTGAGTACTACCATTGACCAGGCAACCGGCTGTTATAAGCCGGCATTTCGCAGTTGCTGAGCGTTCCATCTTCCACCCGGACACGGTATGAGGGCAGTACATAAGTAGAGGAAGAACAATCGGACTTGTCCATGTGTGTCCTAACCACGCCCTTTGTATCTAACTGAGCTGGCCGTTGGCTTTAGTAAATGTTTTGTTGCGCAGTTTTGTCTTTCTTTTTCTAAAGCCCTAAAGGAACAAAACCACTAACTACGAAATTGTATTGAAATATTTTGACATATTCCACAATGAAAGAGCAGTAATCTGAACACACACTACGCCGAGTCTAGTTTGTCAATATTTTTCCTATTTATTGCCTAAGTTTTTCTTAAAGCATTGCAAAGCATCCTAGTTATGACATACTTTCCATATTTAATATGTAGTCACATCAGTTTGATAAATTGAAGAGTTTCATTGAACAAGGTATTATAATTTCGTGAAGGTGCATTTCTGTTGGTGTCTTACCTAATCTCGAAACACCATAGGGTACCTCCTGCAAAATATACAAATTTAAAATTTTATTATAATGTACTTATTTATGTTCTTGTTATATTACTATCTAAGCACATAATAAATAATATGTATATACCTAACCTACTATTTATTTCATTTTGTAGCACAATGGAAGTCAAACAAATTGCAACCAGTAATCCCCATGAGTACAAAGGAATGTTCTCTATTAATGAATTGTCAACATCTGAGAAACTAAGCTCTATTATGAGCATTGGTGAACTAAAGTTTCGTATAAGACATCGTACGACAGACAAAGGAATTTTGGAATTCGATATTTGTTTCTTGGAAAATCAAAAATGGATTAATACAGATAAAAAGTACCGTGATATTCATATTAATTTAGCAATAAATATAGATGCGCATACTAGAGTGGTGAAGATATTGAAAACTCTTGAAGATAAAGTTGAATATGAAAATGAAGGAAAATGGTATGCAATGTCAGAATTCGATATAATTAAGTCAAACCTTGTTAATCACGAAGACTTTTATCACTTCCCAAACATATGTAGTGTTATATCTGTAATTAATGGAAGTAGTATACTCTCAGTTGCATTGGAAAAAAATTGTATGAAAAGAAATCCATTTGCTTCTCTACATAATGACACATTACCAACAGACTTCGAGTTGCGTTGTGAAAATGGGTCTATTCCTGTGCATAAAGTTGTGCTAGCCATCGCCAGTCCAATGCTTATAGGTTATTTAGAAAACGAGAACGACTGGCTTGAAAATAGGTGGTACAAGTTTTCCGAAACCGACTTATCAACGCTACAACATCTGAAAGACTATACATATATACTTGGACGTGTTACCAGACGAGGGCCTAGAAAACCTTTTGTTGCTTGCTTCATGTTACATGATGGAGGAATTGAAACACCAGTGTATATCAAAACTATTATCGAAAGTAACGCCAGAAAATGCACTAGAAGTTTCCGAGTTTGCAGCGGCCCATCAAACTAATGAGCTGTTCATGGGATTTCTTAAGAAAGTGCAAGATGCCGCCGATCAGGGACCTTTCATATAACATTAATTTTAAAATTAAATTAAAAAGATTAATTCTTCATTCACAGTTAAAATGTGAAAATATAAATATGGATGTATGTGTTATTTAGGTTATTCTATTCAAATTATTATATTTTTATTCATGGTTTCAAAATTTATTTTAGTACAAATTTTATTATTATTTAATTAATAAAATTCCTAACAGCCAACATACCTTGAATTTCCTGAATACGTTTTGAATCCTATCTGTGTCTGGACAATCCCGACTTATGTGACATTGTACCTATTTTTAACCGACTTCAAAAAAAGGAGGAGGTTCTCAATTCGGCTGTATGTTTTTTTTTGTACGTATGTTACGAGATAACTACGGCATTTGTGAACCGATTTTCATGATTCTTTTTTTGTTGGAAAAAGGGTACCTCCATAGTGGTCCCATTTTGAAGAAAATCGTCCACCTCTGTCAAGGGTGGCTGTACACGCATGAAGATTCATTTTTATATTTAGCGCCTAAATTTTATTATTAGGAGCAATTATTTTAATGGTTGATTTTGCTATTCTCCAATTCAAGGCGTTTTTCTCTCCCAATATACTTTGAGTAGTAAGAACCGCCTGTCTCTGAAGTTGCAAAACCACAGAGTTGGCCGGTTACCTGATACCAGATTGCGCCACACAATGATTGATCCTTTTTCTCTGAGACATAAAATAAATTAAATCAATGGACATTTTAATCTGTTCTGAACTACGAAAAAATGTTTGATTTCTATAAATTAACTTTGATAGTTTTATGTTGGGCCTCAAAACTATAGTATTAAAAATAAATTTTAAGTAGGTACTTGTTTTTAAAACTAAGTAAATGTTGATTATGTTTGTATACTAATATTATATTAATTATAATATAATTTTATCTGAAAACATGTTCGGAAACGCAAGCAAATTGGCTTCTGCATCTGGTTGTTTTTGCATATACTAACCCTATTTTTTAACGTCAGGAAATTCTCATGGATACCCTCCGCCCGGGTATGCGAAGGGTTATGTCAGACTTCTGCCGACTAAAACCTGACTGTGTTCCATCTTCTCACCATGTGCCGAAGTCACGAGAACGCTTACGCATTCTTCCGCGACTCCGGCGGTGATTGGTTCTACTGGGCGCCGAACCCCATCTCGCTTTTCAGGGAGAGTTCTTGTCTCCCCATCAGCAATCTTGAGAGGCAGACGTGGAACACGTACGCCGCCATCTTGGGTCCACCAGTAACGAGAGACGGACTCCCCTAAGTCTGCTGCTCATGGACCCATGTCACGGGGGCTTTCGCCACCCATTAACTGGAGAGCCATAGCTCTCCTTCTGCGACCCACTCTCCGACGGCGAATCGGATCAGGGGCTATATCTTCCCTTTCCCTTTCCGCCGCCTCCTTCCGCACCATGACCTCCTCACAGAATGCCAGGACTGTGACTCACGACCTTTTGCTCTCAACCATTGAGTGAATTATGGTTGGAAGAGAAAATTCACTCCCCACAGTCGCGACAAGGACACCGCGCTGCTCAACCCATGAAAAAGACAGACTTAAATACTGGGGTTTGAACTCGTGACCGTTTGGCACCGATACTGCGCTGTCCAACAATCTTCCGCTGCACTATTGCAGCGATTTCATATACTTTTTTTTTAACTTCAGGAAATCCTCACGGATACCCTCCGCCCGGGGGAGACGAAGGGTTATGTCGGACTTCTACCGACTAAAACCTGACAGTATTCCCTCTCCTCACCATGTACGGGAGTCACGGGGGTGCTTTCGCATTCTTCCGCGACCCCGGCGGTGAGCGGTTCGACACGTAGTCGAACCCCGTCTCGCTTTTCGGGGAGAGATGTTACCTCCCCGTCAGCCGTCTTGAGAGGTGGACGTGGAACACGTACGCCGCCATCTCGGGCCCACCTATAATGAGCGACAGTCTCCCCTAAGACTGCCGCTCATGGGCCCACCTTACGGGGGCTGGAGGTCGTCACGCAGCCTCCTGCGCCCCGTTCGCCTGCTTCGGATAGAAGGGAGGTAGATATCTCCCTATCACATTCCGAAGCCTCCTCTGCGACATTACTGTTTCGCCGAAAGACACCACCGCTTCCCACAACCTGTCACTGCCAACCATAGCACGCACTAAAGACTGGAGGGAGAGGTCGCTGCCTACTACTGCCAATTGGCTGCCACCAAGTCATGTCGCGGTTCCACCCACGCTGGGCATTCCTCGACTGTGTGCCGAGGAGTGTCCTCGAGAGCGATTTCATATACTAACCTAACCTAACCTAACCTACTGAATGGAGGACGCTACCAAGATTTATTAGGAGATCAATATCAAAAGATATACTGGTTATAAATGTCATCCATCGTTAAAGGAAAAGACCAATAATAAAAAAGAGGATCAAATATATTTTTTTAATCCCAAATATTAATTTAGTACGCTTAAACATAATGGCAGTGTTACCTTGAATGCATTTCATTTATAATTTATCCATAGATCAACTAACAGTGTCTGAACAATTTATATATATCAAACATAAACAAAAATATCGTTTATTTAAGAAAGTGCACATTTAAAATAGATCAATTAGGTATATCTTTGAGGATCAAGGAATATTCTCCCGTTTTTTCAACAGTTGTTGAAAAAACGGTTGTTGGTGATAAACTTTTTACCATAAAATATGATTAAATATATGCAGCACCATTTTCAGTCGGATTAGAACTATTTTTTACCAAAAAACGATTGCACGGCAGCCATATCAAAAAATGGCGGAAAAAAAAATTTCTCCCAATTATGATTAAATTACGAGTCCACGGTTAGCCGTTTGGATTTGACACTCAAGGCATTGGAGACTTCCAATTGGGGCTATGCCAACCTTGTCCAATTTAAGCTACCAAAACGCAGGCGTGTCTATTCATCACAAAACGAAGTCCTATTGAGCTGACTCCGATATTTCGTGATATATCCATACCTATAGCCGATTGCCTCTAGCTACTTGAAATGGACCTGTTGTCCAATTTGAATTTCGACAGATACATTGAATGCCAAAATGGCAAAAAATGCAGCAAGGAAACTTGGCATCCTTTTCAAGGCGAGGCGTTACTTTACACCGGGACAGTTGCTTTAGTTGCCATTTGGGATGGCTCTGCTACATACTAACTGGCCACCTTGGATTCAATTGACAATCGTACCAAGACGCTTACAGGTGACTCAGAATTAGTAGAGGCGACGCTACAGAGCCTTGAACACCTCAAGTACCGTAAAATTGCCTACTTCTCCGTATTCTACAGGATATATCACGGAGAGTGCGATGGAATTTCACGATTTAATTCCCCCTTCCCCTTTCCGTCACCGGGAGCCTAGATGCAGGTTGTGGATATTCCAAAGATTCGCCCGAAGCGTTGCGAAGCGATAAAATCAGCCTCCGGATCAGCATTTGCTGATGTTAATTTAAAAAATCGGCATCCGCACTCGCTGATGTGTAAAAAACTTGCAAATCTGGTAAGCACTTTGTATTAGATTAATTGTAAGATAAACGAAAGGAAATACTTTAGTTTATAATCTTAATCCACCTATAATGTAAAACAAAAAATAGATATAGGTTCATTATCATTTGTGCGTCGATAAGCTGCAGTCGCAAGTCGTCAGCGTAATTGAGGAACGAGTCGTGATTATTCTAGACTTTATTCATTTATCAAAGGGCATAAATTAAATCAAAATGACGTAAGTACCTAGTTAAAAGCGGACAAGTTACATTTCGATGTCTTACTTTCTCTAACTCATATAAAGAATGATTATTCTGGAGATGACAAAGTTTTCTTAGTGTTAATTTGGATGCATTACTTTAAGAATAAGTAAAAGCCAGTGTGTAAATATGAAGGAAATGTGATGTGAAATCGGCCTGCAAAATTTGTATATACAATCCATTTTTTGCATTTCAGTAACTTGTGCTTTATGATACGAGTTTGAGAAAGTAAGGCGATGATTTGGATCCTGAAACAGTTGCAATGATATGGCATATTAATTTTTACAATAGTGTCCGTGTTACCGACAGAGAAAATGAATTCTATATTGTTAGTTGCCGACGCATGAGGCTGTTTTGTTTTCTAGGATAATGAATCCGCACATTGCACATTACGTTGCACACGGATCCAAATGACATAACTGGTCAGCCTTTGTTTACATACGTTTACATAATTCTGCAATGTTTACAATGTTTTTTAAAACTAACCGCCAAAAAACATGAGGTAGTCGTCTAAGCGCACCATTCGGTAGCAATTATTGTAAGCCGTGCTAGTCAACATGTTCGAAGTTAATGGTGATGTTAGCGGACATGTGCGCCGACATTTTTGATGACCAACATATCATAACAATCTGAATACACGCTACACAGTGTCTAGGTTGTCATTATTTTTAATATTTTCGCCTAAGTTGAACAATTTGTCTAAGTTCATAACGAGTGCCGTACCCAAGATCGAAATTCATTTGGTCGATTAACGTGAGGTCGAATGAGTGTTAGATTATTCTGTTACTCATCGAATAATCGAATGACCCAATCAAGTTTAACCGAAAGAACTTTGTGCTTTTGTGTTAGTGATCGAAAACATTATTTGTCGATGCACGTTTGGTCGAAAGAACTATTTACTTTTGTGGTACTGATCAATAACATTATCTGTCGATGCACGTTTGGTCGAAAGAACAACAGATCTTCCTTTATGTGATCGAATTAATCATTTATCGATCAACGTTAGGTCAAAAGAACAGTAGGTATTGTAGTGTGAAACTACAGACCCCTATCATCTTCATCTCTCTCATTATACGTTTTCTAGGAAACGCCCTTACTTTTTCTGATTCCTGAAAGAATTCCAACTAATATTTACTATAATATGAGTGTCTAAATTACTTAAATTTCTTTCTTTAGTTGTCATCCGCTCCAGATGGCAAAGACAACGTTTGACCTAGGCTTATTTATAAGGAGTAGTCAGCCGCTCCAAAGTTGAGGCTAAGAGCAGTAGACCTCGAAGCAAAGAGCCCTTCCACGCCTAAGAGTGGAAGGGCTCGGGGCAAAAGGCCTAAGAGCGGAAGGGTTTGGGGCAAAAGTAAAGACCTAAGAGCGGAAAGGCTCGAGG